TGGCCTCAGTCCCAGAGTTCATCTCTCCAGTGAAGCACTTTTGAGGAAGGAAAAGCCCTCTGGACAGGCGAGGAGAGTGCTGTAGCTGCTTGTAACATGTAGCCCTCCGCCCCACTAGTTATGGATTTCTGATAGGCTAGATGGGCAGCTGCCAAGTCTGGGACCCAGCAGTTCAAGCCAGTGGGCAATGAGTCTTCCTTTAGTTCTGGGCCCCCAGATGTGAGCAGTGAATTCAGCAGGCAGTTACTGTCCCCGTTCTCTATGATGCAGTGGTGGTGATATTTACATATTATTCAGATTCACGGGAGCCTCATCTCCATCTGGTCTATGTTGGCGGCTTCCACTGTGCAGTCAGAGACCTCTCCCCTGACCACTCTCGAGGGCAGGGGTCACATCTTCCTGGTCTCTTTGTCCTCAGAACCTTGCCTCATGCCTGCCATGAGGCTCCTCAGCGGCTGTGCAATGAATGCTCCTTGCACGAGTGAAATGGGGAATGTGGAATGTGAGAAGCAAACCTCACTGGTGCCCAGGTTTTCTCATCCATCTTCCCAGCAGTTTCTGGGTGCCGCGTTGCTATGCTAAGTCTTCGCATTGCTTCATGTTACCATCATGCTGACTCTGTTACCACCTCCTCTGAGGACAGGTCATCTTGGCTGACAGAGAACTTGCAGCCCTACCTGTCCCGAGAGCTGCTGAAGGGCAAAGCTGGGCTTCACACTCAGGTGGGCAGATGCCAGAGCTCCCATACTTGAGTGTTCCATGTTGTTTTCTGCATGCCCTGCATGAAGTTCCCTTGTACAAAGCCTCCACTTTGGAGTTCACTCCGGCTCTGGTCAGGGCCTCAGATAGGTGGGAGGAGGCCATTGCCATGCAAGCGCTGACTCCTGGTTCCATGACTTACCAGCTGCTTGGCTTTGGGCAAATTGCTGTAAATCTCTGTGCTGTAATTGGTTCTTTTATGACTTGGGATGGAGCACCTCTGTTGGGAAGCTGCTAACTAGGCAGTTGCTCCAATTCCTGCCCTGCTTGCCTGGGGCTGTTCCTGCTGGATGGTCCCTCCGGATGGTCCCTGCCTTGCCAAGTGAGCACAGTAGTGGTATGGAGAGGCAGAGCTCACCTAATTAGTGTGGGTGGGCTAGTTTGTCCTTAGCCTGACCAAATTCTTTGTAGGCATCTGATTGCCTGCCAATGCACATGGCTGCCACAGAGTTAATCTGCTGCCCCAGGGAAGTTTATTCAGCTGGCTGAGAGGAGCCTGGGACTTGGGGACACATAGTTCCTGTGATTTGCTGCCCCTGTAATCAGGAAACATTACTGCCACAGCGTGGGGCACCATGAAGGCATGTGCATTGGCTCAGAACCCACCTCTCTGTCAGGTGGGCCACAGGCCTTGGTGTGGTTGGTCTTGCATGTGGATGTTCAGCCAGGACCCACAGGCTTCTCCCTGCATGAAACCAGGTTAAGGGGGCAGGGGCCTAGACTTAGAGAGCTATTAGCGCAGATTTATACAAGTGTGTGTGTGTGTGTGTGTGTGTGTGCGCGCAGGCTCAAGGGGACTCCCCAAAGCTCATGGAAGAACAGAACTAAAAGTAATTTATTTGGTGCCAAACGTTTTTGAAATCCATGCATGCTTTATTCATAATGTACATTTCTCATGAATGATTTGAAGGTCCCTCATATGCAAGCATTTTAATCTTTTTTGGCATCAAAATAAACTTACCCTTTAATTCTATTTTCTGTGAACTTCTTGAAGTATCCTTGTGTGTATTTCTTTATAAAAGCATGATAAAAGCTCATTGCAGAAAATTCAAAAAATACAAAACCATTTGAAATTATCCATGATCCCATGACTCCAAGCAAACTAATATTAGTGTATAGATATGTTTTCATTTTTTCTACTTGAGTACTTTTATGCATTTGAAATTACATTGTACGTTCAGTCTGGCATCCTGTTTTTTTTTTTTTTTCCGTGTAACTTGTTTCCATCTGTTCTAATTATAAACTGAATTATAAACCGAACACTGTGACCTGGCCCACGTTATTGTCACTTGTGTCTGCTTCCCCATGCCAGGTCCTGTTCATGGCTGGAGGGGCAGAAATCTGGTGGCAGCTAGTGCTAGAGTGCGCCTGCTGACTGCTGGGCCGGGGTCCCACACTCTGCAGGGCTAGCTCATCCTCACACGGCCTTGGGGAGGGACTACTCACTTAGGACAAGGAGAGAGGGGTTTTTGAGGCGTGGGAGGAATCATTAACACTGCCCAAGTGCTGTTCTAGTCCATGCTGTGTTCTGAGCACTTGGCTTCTATTACCTTGTTGACCTGGCACGACAGCAGATCTTACAGATGGCTAAACTGACAGACACGGATGTTTGGTGGCTCACTTAGGACATGCAGCCAGGGCTGGCAGGTGAGGAGAGATGCCCTGTCCTGAAGCTGGTGCTCCTAACCCTCATGGTGCCTGCCTCTCTCCAGGCAGGTGCTGGGTCTCAGTGTTTGGGGGCTGGTGCCATCCATTGATTGATTGATTGGTAGGAGAATGAGTCCCTTGGATATAGTGTCCTACTTGTCAGGGCATGGAAGGGTTGTGTGTATGTGTGTGGGGGACAAGGCCCACAGGAACGCAGCCCATGAGTGGGGCTGTGGAGGACAAGTGGGACCCCTCTGTGGAGACAGTGGGCCTGGCCCTCTCAACAGAGGCAGCAGGCTGTGCTGGTGGAGGAGAGTTGGCGACATGTGGGCCAGAGTGCCCTCCTGAGGCCCCTCAGTGTGTGTGCTCCTCCTGCTGCAGGAGCGCTTGCTCAGAGCCTGCCCATGCTTCCTGCCCATCCCCGGCTGTGTGAACCGGGCAGCTGACATAGTGGCTGCCATTTACACAGACTGTGCTCTAGAAACAGCTTGGAGAGGATGTTGGGAGGTGAGGTTTTGCAAGGCCTTGGTGTCTTGTCTGACATGGGCTGTGCTTAGGAAGGGGGTGGCTGCTGGTGTGGCTCATGCATAGGCCACGGGGGCAGTCAGCTTGCATTTCCTGTGTTCTTGGGGCCTTGGAACTGGCCCTAGTAAGCAGGGTCCACTTGGCTCTCTGTCACCTGGCATCTCTTATCCATTCCATTCCTGAATGGATTGACCGGGCTAAAAAGCAAAAAAGTGGAGTTCATTAAAATCCATGTAATATCTTTATAGACTTCCTGGATTGCTGGAGGGTCTTGGTTCCATCCGTGGTGCGGGAGGAATGGCATAACTTCTGCCTGGAGCTGCTACAGCACCCAGAGCAGGTGTCCCAGTGTAGTTTGGACCTCAGGGCTGCGGTGCAGACTGGAGAGTAGGAACACACACAGGCTTCAATGATCTTTGTGGGCTAGGGCAGTGCCTTGCCCACTAAGGATGGCTGCTGTGAATGTCTGAAGTCCCCACGTGCTGTGGCTACACAGGAGACAGACCACAAAACCAGTGTGTGAAGGCGGTTTTGAGCATGACATCTGTTAAGCTGTGCCACATACCAAGATTGTGCTGGACACAGCACAGGTCCAGAATCCTCCTCCTTCTAACCATCGCTGGCTTCTCTTCCTCCCCTCAAGTCTCTCTGGGAAGGTTTCCTAGTTCTGCATACCTGGACCCTAGGCTCTGCAGTGCACTGCCCAGGAGCCATGACTGACCCACCCTGCATGTGCTCGGTGTGTCTGTGTCATTCTGCTGGCTGGCCGAACACTGGACCTCACTGCTCAGGGCTGTGCGGCATCTGTGCTTGCCCCTGTGAGCAGGAGGGCAGTGGGGCTGGGAGCTTCTCAGTGGAGCAGAGTTGGAAGCGGACCTTGTGGCACAGCCATTGGAGGTTGTCAGTTTTCCCAGGTGTGCTGGCTGCAGAGAATACTGGGCCCTGGTTGGATGTCTCACATCTCACTCCCAGTTACTAATGAAGGAGGGATGGCCGCTTCCCAGGCCACACTGGGTGTCCCCTGTGTCTCTTCCTGTCGTTCCATAGGGTGCCTTGCTGTGAGTGATGATGACCCCACTCCATTCTCTGCAGAGGTCACCGTGTGCAACCTCTGCACCAGTCCCCGATGCAATGATGATGCCCCCTGCCCTGTTCTCTGCAGAGGTCACCATGAACAGCTTCTTTTTTTATTTTTTGACAAGCAGAGTGGACAGTGAGAGAGAGACACAGAGAGAAAGGTCTTCCGTTGCCATTGGTTCACCCTCCAATGGCCGCCGTGGCCAGCATACCGCGCTGATCCGATGGCAGGAGCCAGGTGCTTCTGGTCTCCCATGGGGTGCAGGGCCCAAGCACTTGGACCATCCTCCACTGCACTCCCTGGCCACAGCAGACAGCTGGCCTGGAAGAGGGGCAACCGGGACAGAATCCGGCGCCCCGACCGGGACTAGAACCGGATGTGCTGGCACCGCAAGGCAGAGGATTAGCCTAGTGAGCCGTGGTGCTGGCCACCGTGCACAGCTTCTGCCCCAGCCCCCGATGCAGTGTCTGTCTCCCCCATGCTGTCTGCAGACAAACCGCAGCTCAGGATTTACCATTCTGCACGGTGCTCCAGGCCCAAGGCCGCTTCCTCGCTGGCCCTGCCTGAGGCTCTGCTCTTAGCTGTGTGTTTCTAATTCTGGATTCCTTTCTCTGAAGCAGTGTCCCTGCTTAACATGGGTCTGTTTCCCTCACAGCAGTACAATACAGAAAATGTTCATGGTGGAGAAACTTAGCTTCACTTGCCAGAGCCACAGGCCTTCATTTCGTCTGCAGATCCCGCGGCTCCCCAGGAGGGACGGTGGCCTGGCCTTGGGCCTGTGCCTGGGTGTGACGCATTCTCCCTCCTCTTTGTGCCTCATGGCCTCTTCTGATTCAGGGCTTTTCCTAGGACTTTGCTTTCTGACATCTTGAGTGGTTCTCACTTTTGTTTTTGAGCGTGTGCCAGAATTTCCTAGCTGGGTTGGTGTCAGTCTCATTGTGCCTCTGCTCTGCCATCACCATCAACATCGCTATTGTTGTTATCATTGCAGAGAAACTGTATGGCAACTTCCTGAGCTGGAAGCTGGAAGAAACCCTCGCCCAGTTCCCCCTGCAGCCTGGGCAAGCAGCCACCTTCACTGTCACCATCAAAGCGAGCCTGGACTTCTCCTGCCAGGAGGGTGTCCTGCAGGACCTGAGTGACGGTAAGTGGCTCCCTCATTTCTGAGAGCTCACCTGCTCCCAGGTGTGTGTTGTAGTCAGCTCTCTGTGGCACCCACCACCGGTCATGTGACTCGCTCAACCGAGACCTTGCCCCTGCACTTGGTTAGCAGCGTGACTTACTGCAGGCACATTATAGAGACAGTTTCTCAATTCCCACTCTTGACCATCTTGTCCTGATGTGCTAGGTGGTTGTCCTGAGGGAGTGGAATGCTGTGATTTTTCCCCCAAGTGTACCTGCTGTTTTGGTGGGACACACAGTGGTGATGATGGAGTTCTCCCATCTGGTGATGCCAGTAAGGAGACAGAGCTGGGGGCAATGGGAATTGTATCTGCTGCAGCACCAGGCCTGGCCGCGTGGGGACGTGAGTTCACGGGTTAGCTGTGTCAGGTTGTCACATGCTCTTATGGAGGCCTTGGGGGTGTGTTAGTCAGCTCAAGCTACTGTAACAAACGCCACACCTGGCCTGGCCTGACCACAGGCTTTGATTTTGATGGTTCTCAGCATTGCAAGTCTGACCCAGGTGCTAGCATGGTTGGGTCCTGGTGAGGGCGGCCATCTTCTTGCTGTGTTCTCATGGGGTGGAGACAGATCAGCTCTCTGGTATTTCTTCCCCTTTCTTTTATTTTTTTAAGATTTATTTATTTACTTGAAGGGCAGTTATGGGTGTGGGATGAGGGAGACACACAGGGACACATGTACATGCCCACACACACACAAACACACAGAGAGGGGAGAAGAAAGATTTTCCACCTGCTGGTTCACTCCCCAAGTAGCCACAATGGCTGGGACTGTGCCTGGCAGAAGTCAGGAACCTGGAAAACCATCTAGGTTTCCAGTGTGTGTGTCAGGGGCCCAAGCTTGGGCCATCTCCTGCTCCTTTTCCAGGCATGTTAGCAGAGAACTGGATCAGAAGTGGAGTAGCCAAGACATGAACTGGTGTTCACATGGGGTGCTGGGGACACAGGCGGTGACTTAACCACCTGTGCTGTAACACCAGCCCCAGTAAGAACATTTCAATCCTGTGTTTTAAGGACTTTAGAGTCCTCGTATACAGTGCATGACTTTCATCTCCATGAACATGCTGTGAATGACAGACCTTCCTGTGGGTGTTTTGAGTCTGGGTATTCCTGGGTGTGTTGCAGCTGCTGTTCCTTGTCCATTCACCTGCCAAGAGGCATTTATGCATTTCCATTGTCTTGGCTGTGGTGAGCAGTGCTGCAGTGGACATGTAAGTGAAGACATGGCTCTGCCATATACATATATGTATTCTTGTATATATCAAATACACACATATTCACATGCACAAATCACATACATATACACATGCATATCACACACATACATGTCACACACAGATATCACGCACATGTACATGCACACATTACATACATGTACATATACACCTTACGTGCACATGTACATAAATCCAGATGTGGGCTGGTGGGGTCGTGGGAGAGCTTGAGTTGTTTTTAGCCTTTAGGGACCCTCCGTGCTTGTTTTCAAAATGCTGTACTGACTGACGTTCCCCTGAGAAGTGTGCTAGATCCTTCTTTCTGCACCTGTGGCCTGGGTCTTTTGGTAATAGCGAGTCTGGTGGAGTGACATGCTGTCTTATATGGTTTTATTTTTATTTATCTATTTTAAAGCTATATATGTTTATTTGAAAGTTAGAGTTGGAAGAGAGAGGGAGGGACAGAGCGAGGGCTCTTTCATCTGGTGGTTTGCTCCCCAGATGGCCGCAATGGCCAGAGCTGTGCCAGGCCAAAGCCAGGAGCCAGGAGCTCCTGGATGCAGGGGCCCAAACACGTGGGCCGTCCTCCACTGCTTTTCCCAGCTCATTAGCAGAGAGCTGGATCGGAAGGGAAGCGAATGGGACAAAAACCAGTGCCCATGTGGGATGTAGCATCTCAGGTGGCAGCTTACCCACAGTGTCACAACACTGGCCTCTCTGTTGTGATTTTAATTTGCATTTCTCTGATAATTGGAGATGGTTACTTGTATGTCTTCTTTCGAGAAGTGTCCATTCAGGGGATGTTTTCTTGTTACTGATTCATTTGAGTTCTTTGTATTAAGATAGTAGCCCCTCACCTGATAAATGATTTCAAATATTCTCTCAGTGTGTGCATCAGTTCTCTACTCTGTTGCTTGCTTCCTTTGCTTGGAGAAGGATTTCTTGTATGCAATCTCATATGTCTATTTTTTGATTTGCCGCCCATGCCTTTGGGGTCACATCCAAGAAATTACTGCTCAGATCAATGCCATGGACCTTTCCCTCTGCATTCCTCTAGTCATTTTAGAGTTTTGGGTCTTATGGTTAAGAATTTATTTACTTATTGGGATATGTGTTTATGTATGTGTGAATGTGTACATATATAGACATCAAATCTCTAGAAGAAATCACTATCACAGGCATTTTTTTTTATTTTTTTTTATTTTATTTTATTTTTTTTAATTTTATTTTTGACAGGCAGAGTGGACAGTGAGAGAGAGAGACAGAGAGAGAAAGGTCTTCCTTTGCCGTTGGTTCACCCTCCAATGGCCGCAGCTGCAGCCGGCGCACCGCGCTGATCCGATGGCAGGAGCCAGGATCTAGGTGCTTTTCCTGGTCTCCCATGGGGTGCAGGGCCCAAGCACCTGGGCCATCCTCCACTGCACTCCCTGGCCATAGCAGAGAGCTGGCCTGGAAGAGGGGCAACCGGGACAGAATCCGGCGCCCCGACCGGGACTAGAACCCGGTGTGCCGGCGCCGCAAGGTGGAGGATTAGCCTATTGAGCCACGGCGCCGGCCTATCACAGGCATTTAATTTATTTTCATCTTATTTGAAAGTCAAAGGAGGTTGAGAGAGAGATAAAAAGAGAGAAAGAGAGAAAGAGAGAGAGAGAGAAAGAGAGAGAGAGGGAGGAGAGGGATCTCCCATTTTCTAGTTCACTCCTACAATGCCCAAAACGGCCCCAGGGCTGAAACTAGGAATTAGGAACTAAATCCAGGTATCTGACATTGGTGGCAAGAACCCAGTTATTCGAGCCATCACCACTGCTTCCCAGGGTCTGCCCTGGCAGGAAGCTGGAGTCAGGAGCCTGAGCCCTGATGTGTGACATGGGTGTCCTAAGCACTAGGCCAGATGCCATCCTTTAGAAGGTGTGTGGCACAAGGACCCTGTCTCGTTCTGTCCTGTGTTCCCAGCGTTTTGGCCGTGACAGGCAAAGGGCTTTGTGTCTTGTGGTGTGGATCATGAACGGGTCCTCTTTCTCCTGCTTCTCCCCTGAGTGTGTGGGTTCTGAAGTTGTGTTCCTGTTCTTTCTTGTGAGCATGTCCCCCTCAGAATTGCCCCCAGCTTCTCTGGGGAGTTGTTGAAGATCTCAGAGTTCTTATCCACGCGTCTGTGGCTCAGCTCCCTGCATGGCCATTCCATTTGCTTTCCTGTAACAGGGAGCTTGTTGGGGTCTCTCCTGCTACTCTGTGTTGGGCAGCTGGGGCTGCTGGAGCAAAGCACCACAGGACAAGTGGATCAGGCAGCAGAAATTGCTTTCTCACGTCTGGAGACTGGGAAGGCCGAGACCACAGTGCTGGCAGAGTGTGTTTCCCGCTCGCTGTGTCCTCACTTGGAGGAGGCCGGGGGGAACTCTGGTGTTTCTACCTCTTCTTATCAGGGGGAGACCCCACCCTCCTGAGCTTAGCCACCCCGGCCACCACCCAAAGGCCTCGCCTCCTCATGCCCTCGCCTTGGGGTCCAGGGCCTCAGCACCTGGATTTTAGAGGGACAGACAGTTCAGTCCACGGCAGCCTGCATAGAATTTGCTGTCTCTCTGCAGTGTTTGATGAACCATCAGGAAGTTCCTTCGGCTTGTGCTGGTGCTTAAGAAAACAATTTCTTTATGTTGTTCACAAGCAGGCTTAGCACTGGGTGCGTTAGCAATGGAGAAAGTCAAGGGGATGACTTACCAGGCTTCAAGCATCAGATGCGGTGGATTTTCTCGGTTTGTGCGGTGCTCTGTGCCTCTGCACTGCGTGTTCCTCTCAGTGGGCAGTGGGTAAACAGATCCCGAGTTCTCCCCCAGAAGGGAGTTGGGCATAATGAGTGGTGCCCAGGGCCAGGGTCCTGGGCAGGCTCAGCAGTCAGACTCCCAGTGGGGATTATTTGTGAGCAGCAGGGGGCAGTACCACGTGTAATGTCGTTGCCTAGGAACAGCATACAAGCTTCCAGTGGACATCTGAGCTCTGTGGGTTTTGGTGGCACCTTCAGTGTTCGATACTGACCTGCTTGGTGGTGTCTTTGCCTTGGTGTCTGTCATGGGAGAGGCTCAGGCATTCCCTCTGCCATCCTAAGTGGAGAACGAAGTGGCAGTTTGTGGCTCACATGTGGGAACACCTTCCTCTGGCTTTTGAAATAAAAGCAAATCAGAACTAGCATTTTGGATACCCTGTGGTTTGTAAATGCAATGAGGGAGCCACACACCTATGTGGGACAGGACATGTGTGTGTGTGTGTGTGTGTGTGTGTGTGAGGCCCCCCTTGCTGATCATGGTTAACAGAAGTGCAATGCTGATTGTTTGCACAGAAAAAGGCAGAACAGGCCAGGGTCATGGGAGAGCAAGATGGAAACCCAAGGACCATGGGGATTTTGGTGCAGGCTGTGAATTATCACTTGCAGTTCTACCTGTGCAGTCACGAGGCCACTATGAAGCCCTCGAATAGGGAAAGCTTCAGGCTCGGGGGCAGAGGCTCATCTGTGGTTCCTGCAAGCAGGAGCTGACCCTGCAGTGGCTCTCAGTCTGCCCCTCTCAGAAGCATTTAACTGGGGAGTTAACTCCATTTAACTGTGGGCCCCGTTTGCTCCTTGGCAAGGACTCACACGAACTCAGGCTTCTGGAATGAGGTGTTGCTGTTTGTTTTGCAGTAGGAGGTTGTGCTGGGCTCTTTCTTCCTGTGATTCCTGTTCACTGTCCCACCAACAAGTACAGCAGAGAGCAGGCTGCTGG